GTTGAGGTTGTAAGCTGCAACTTATCGATCGGACAAACCCAATTCACAAAACGTTGTTCGTTCTATTTTTATATTGTTTGCATATATTTTTTCACATCATTCAAAAATTAAAGACAAGGAATAAATGTTATTCTCTGATTGCACAGTCAGGAAAACTGCCGACCAGAATCAGATATACACTCAGCATGCATTATAAACGACAATGCAACGTTACTTTATTGAAAACAGCCGCCGCGACACTGCAATCTGGAGACCCCAAACACATCAATGATAACAATACCAAATCCATCAACATTGAATAACCATGTCTTGTTTGTTTCATGTATGTCTCCATCATACAGGAGTGTATACTTCCGTTTTTGTTCAGCTTTTAAAGTGAAGTTGATCGATCGGACAAACGCTTGTTCATAACATGTTGTGCATTATATTAAGGTATTTATTCAGGTTTGCATATATTTCGCGTAATATTTGAGACAAAATTGTAGATTAAAATGAATGGCATTATTCTCTGAATGCGACATTTATGTACAATAAAGACTGAAATAAAACAAAATCCTGAACTTTTTCATGTATGTTTTCTTGATCAAGATGTGAATTTACCGTAAACGGGTTTAGTATTTCTAATTTACTATGCACCTCTACTAAACAGCTGTACGGATACTGTTAGTCTGTCGTACAGACCCTGAAGCAAATATATCCGAGAAAGCCCATGCAAGTCTAGAAAATGTGGCAAGTCTAGATTTCCTCAGTTTCTGAAAATGAAGAAAGTCTTAGGGCTCCTTTTCATTATATATTTTTTTTTTTACTATGAACTTTTTTCAGTAAGATATGTTCATTTCACAGACTAGTTGTTAGTCTAGGATAATATATGATGTCATTGACATGTACTTGTGTTTGACTTGAAATTATTGAGGAATAAGACAACAATCAATTTCTCAATTTCCTTCTAGGAAATGATTCATTACACTGAACGTGGATTGCTTGTACATTTCAATGTTGATGTACATTTCTCTTGTGTATATCATTAATGAATCTATGGCCTCACGATGTGAACTCCGGTTAATGTAGCGTATGTACACGACCATCGGTCATTTCAATGAAACTTGACTACGTTTCTCGACATGCCGTGAATATTTCTTCAAAATAAATGTCATTGAACAGTTGAAATTGCATCCTTCATATTTACAAATACAACACTATGGCATATTTTGAGAGGAATTCTGTGAGAATTGACATGGAGTTTGGTGTTAAATAATCAAGAACATGTCCACAGCACGGTAGGTACGTCATTATCTTGATGTGAAATGTACAATAGGTAAACTGAAATTGACACCACAATTAATCAAGAGGTAATTATCGGGGAGTTATCAACAACTCACTACATTTAAACAATAATACACACCTGTAATGATTTGAGAATATCAAAAGTTTAATATTTTATGTGGATAAGGCACTGATAATGACAACCCTGAGAGTTTTCAATTTCTCTCAACACGTGTATTCCCTACATATCTATTGTAGTAATAAGTACATCAGTGTATGCTACAATATTTATGCCATCACAGTAGTGTGAAATGTGTAATTGACCAGGTTCTGTGTAATATGTATGATAGAAATTTAATGTCAGCACTCACAAACTTAAACTAAAACTCGAAGAACCAACAGTGGACTAAACAGACAAGGAACGTGCACCCAGTCTGTTGTGGAACATGAACACGATAATATATGACATGTAACGACATACAACAATGAGTATTTAACGCGTTATTTGGTATTAGGCTGCTTCGTTTTGTTGATTTAAAAAACATTAACAGCAAACCATCATTTAACACATTCAAGTAGTTGCTTGTCGGTGTCTTATCACCGTGGACTTCCCATGATATGCTTGATTGTGGATAATGCACGTGTTATCCCTTATAAAAGCATGTAGCAAATGTGGTATGTTGGAATGATTCGTCGTCTCTCAAATTTTCAAATATTTCTGATATCCCGTGTCTGTTGTCATATATACTCCATCCATGTTAGTTCGGTATTATATACATCAAGTCCATGTTAGTTCGGTATTATATACATCAAGTCCATGTTAGTTCGGTATTATATACATCAAGTCCATGTTAGTTCGGTATTATATATATCAAGTCCATGTTAGTTCGGTATTATATATATCAAGTCCATGTTAGTTCGGTATTATATACATCAAGTCTATGTTAGTTCGGTATTATATACATCAAGTCCATGTTAGTTCGGTATTTTATACATCAAGTCCATGTTAGTTTGGTATTATATATATCAAGTCCATGTAGTTTGGTACTATATACATCAAGTCCATGTTAGTTTGGTATTATATACATCAAGTCCATGTTAGTTCGGTATTATATACATCAAGTCCATGTTAGTTCGGTATTTTATACATCAAGTCCATGTTAGTTTGGTATTATATATATCAAGTCTATGTTAGTTCGGTACTATATACATCAAGTCCATGTTAGTTCGGTATTATATATATCAAGTCCATATTAGTTCGGTATTATATACATCAAGTCCATGTTAGTTCGGTATTATATACATCAAGTCCATGTTAGTTCGGTATTATATATATCAAGTCCATGTTAGTTCGGTATTATATACATCAAGTCCATGTTAGTTCGGTATTATATATATCAAGTACATGTTAGTTCGGTATTATATGCACCCAGTCCATGTTAGTTCGGTATTATATATAGCAAGTCCATGTTAGTTCGGTAGTATATACATCAAGTCCATGTTAGGTCGGTATATATATATCAAGTCCATGTTAGTTCGGTATTATATACATCAAGTCCATGTTAGGTCGGTATTATATATATCAAGTCCATGTAAGTTCGGTATTATATATATCAAGTCCATGTTAGTTCGGTATTATATACATCAAGTACATGTTAGTTCGGTATTATATGCACCCAGTCCATGTTAGTTCGGTATTATATATATCAAGTCCATGTTAGTTCGGTAGTATATACATCAAGTCCATGTTAGGTCGGTATTATGTACATCCAGTCCATGTTAGTTCGGTATTGTATATATCAAGTCCATGTTAGTTCGGTATTATATACATCAAGTCCATGTTAGTTCGGTATTGTATATATCCAGTCCATGTTGGTTCGGTATAATATACATTAAGTCCATGTTAGTTCGGTAGTATATACATCAAGTCCATGTTAGTTCGGTATTATATGCATCAAGTCCATGTTAGTTTGGTATTATGCATATCTAGTCCATGTTAGTTCGGTATCATAAACATCCAGGGGATGAACATTTCATTCTTTATCGCATCCAACAGTCAAAGAAATCTTTATTACTTGCGCACGATAACTGCCGAATAGGTCAACCGGTACAGTGTGACTTTTAAACAACAAATGATATATATCCACCACGAGTTTGTGAATGTTCCACGTCATATATGCATTGTGATCATACACTGTTATTTCTACTACAACATCGACCAATGGGTGTGACGCTTTGGTGTCGTGACGTCATAACTCTACATGGAAACTATAATACTGAAATTTCAGGTGTCATTTTAAGATAAATTGAATGGAATCTGTTCATATATGATTCATGGTATGGTTAGGTATAAAGAAGTGTCGCCACTAAACAAAATCCTCATAAATATCCAAAATATGTATATACTTTTAACTTTGAGTATACATCGAATCATTGTGTTTTGCACGTGAATATTTCAGATCAGAATAATATAGATTAGTTAATTAAACTACCAATCACCATTATCGATTTTCCAAAACCATTCTCATCGATTTGTTAAGTAAATATTAACTAAGACATTTCATGCTCATTCGTTTAAAACAGTGAAATGAAGTCAAACATCAAACATAAAAGATTAGAGTATTGAAATGTTTGCAATAATTACACAACCAATTCGTTTTCAGAAATGTTTTGTTTGAATAAGAAAAACACTCAAATAAAATGCATTTGACTATTTGTTCCAGAACGGTATGCAATTGTTATTAACATCGTATTAAAATCGTCCACTGTTTCAGAACTGAAAATGCACTGCTTACTACAAGCTACGAACAATAAACACGCTGGTTCAACAACAATATAATTGTGAGTACTTGACTGTCGTATATTGAAATAGGCATGCGACTTACAACTGTTTAATTAAAAGTAAATCTTCCATGTTGTCACATATAATTCGTGGCTATGTTTACGCTGTGTGTACTGTTTGCTTTGATTTCCAGTCAAGAGCGTCACAAAGCCTTTCTATGTCTATAGTTTCGTTGATACCCGAAAATAATGAAATTCGCTGATAAAAGGCTTTATTTTCTGCGATCACTACCATTGTGAGTGCTATTCACGACAAATGTTCCTACCAAATTGAACACAGGGGCATTGCTTGATCACTGGAAGAGCAAAGTCGTTTTATAACAATTGAATCGTGGTGATAAAAAAGTCGATCCCAATTATTTTCGACAATACCCAGGAGACTTGTAATATTTAACAATAACTCGTTTCTACTTTGCCATGCGAATGTAACTCAGTTGGGTGCTGTCTATGCATTAAACAACCTCGCTGAAAATATGACGCTAGTGCTCATATTTCATTTCTCTGTATCTAAATATTATTGAAAATGACCACTATTGTTTGGACACTGTTATGCTGCAATGACAATGCCTTTGTGAAATGGATTAGGCTTGAATTGCAATCCCTACACACCTAGAGAACGATTAAGTTAGCTAAAACGAGTGTTACACACCTTCTGTTTACTGAATCCGCGCATTACATTCACACACGGGCCAGAAATACAAAGTCAATACTAAAAATCGATTGAAGGCACTTAACCGAGCGACAATGCAATATTTTTACAGGTAATTTCATCAGCGACGGCTAGTTTGTTCAAATGAGCGTGGGCATTGCGTGAAACGATGGGTTTTCTTTTGCAGAGAGTCAGTTGGATGATGAAAGTCAACACGGACGCCGCACTGCAATGATTTTCTAGTCTGCATTCTTGCTCAGCGGACGGTTAATTTTTCGTGTGGAGAGAAAAATCTATTCGCATGTTTGATAACTACTTGAGAGAAATGAGACCGAAGGGTTTGTCTACTTAGACGAGATAATGAAACAATGGGCGATTCGGCGCAGATGAATATTTATCCTCAAAATGCCCTGAAAATTCAATTTACTTTTCCAAACGCGAGTGAATTACCTGTACCCAACGCACAAAATAAATGTGTAAAAATTGCCGTTCCTAAGTACTCTCCGTTTTAGCTGTAAAACGCAAAGGAAATTATTTCATCAAGTAATGAGTTGGAAGATCGGACGGGAGATGAGATGAAATGACTATCGCGGCTGTCAATCAAACGTAAGGGGCGGAGCTTGGTCTCCCTACGCGTAGAGCTATTCTCGTCGAACTTAGACGCTCGTTTTCGCCCAAAGCTTCGGGGGATTCTGAGTGTAGCCAATCCGTGGGCTTGTACTATCCGCTGCTTAGACAAGCAAGAGACATGATGACAGCCAAGCTGGTCACTAAACGCACGGGAAACGGTTATGTCTTGTCCTAGCGTATAGAGAACGCATGATAAGAATTATCCGCTCTTGGCCTCTAAACCAAAGGTCTCAAACTGGACAGTGAACGGACGGAGTGACCATAGGGGTCCACCCCGAGATAGCCAGTGGTCAGCTGATGAGCACGACAGGTGGTAAATGACTTACCTGAGGTTCTAAGACAATCACACACCTGTGATTCAAGAGCGGCTTGGAAAGGATTGTTTATTTATGCGGACTGTTTATCAGTAAACTACGTACCTCGTTGACTGTTGACAATGTCCTTACCTCAGTTCGGTTATAGCTACCCATCGACAGCTTCATCGCTATCATCATCACAGGTAAATATGCGTGCATATATCCAGTAGATATCCGTGCATTCCTACAGAGTAACTGGTGTTTATTTCAGAACATGCCATGTCAATTTCATGCACAGCATGTTGATAGCAACATGGAGTTTTTTACTGTGTAATTCAGCCATTATATCATGTTTATGATTCTCCCTCACGTTTAATATGTATATTCATTTATGTATGCAATATGAAATTATATGAAACATAAATTAATGTCATTACGCATTGTAATGTAGACCAACCTTTTGCTCTTCAGTGGGTATTCATTGTTTTCAAATAAGTACTGATAAAACTGGAGATATTTGCTTCTGGACGTGTGTATATTGGTATCAGGGTAATGCATTATGTCAAGGTATGCAGTCATTGTTTGTCTAGCCCTGAAAGCATATGACGAGAATGATACACGTGTTTTTTCTGTATCCATGAGTGCCTATGAAATATGATTAACCGCTTCTGTTGTGACACATGGACACCTCGAAATAATTCTTTAAAAGCTGTCTGGGGCTGACAAACACTGGTCTGAAATATAGTTCATTAAAACGGCTGCCTACGACGTTTTGATTGCTAATAATTCTTCTCAGGTTTCATACGCGACATAATTATTATACTGATTTATGTAATCCGATTTGTTTTTAATATTTTACATCTTTTGTTACATTAAATCTTAAAACAATTATCAGGTGGGTGTTTCTTTTGTTACATTAAATCTTAAAACAATTATCAGGTGGGTGTTTCATTTTAATGTTATGTTAAAGTTTAGTCAAAACTAATTCATACATTTTCAAACTGTTTGTTTAGAAACGATATTTGGGTCTAAAGTACTTTTCATTTTGTAAATTTCGTGTTTATATTTGTGCTTACTTGGCAACGATATTATTATTGATTATTGCATTCACGCTGTACTTCTAATTACATTAATCAATCTCATTCAGCATGAAAACGACAACATGTAGCGGTACATACACACAATTGTAACTACATCAAAAAGTTATATTTACCTTGTCAATTGCATAATAAACATTGGACAGAGCATGTGTTTACCCATCTGATAATTAAGTCAGAAATGAGCTGCAGAAGCTTTGATGAGGCAAGCACCTGCTCGATATACTCAATCACATCACTGATTAATAACTGTAACAATTAAGCATTTAATTTGCTCATAGCATGCTGATTTCCTTTAGATTTCAGCTGAAATCGACAAGCTTTGTTTGCTTTATTTATTATGGCGCTATCGGAATGACATCTGAATAAACATGAGTCGATTTCATGATTGGTGAAACCTACACGTGTCTTTACATGACCAGCGAGTAGATAGCATCAATAGCAAATAAATACGTCAGGATGCTGAACATAGAAACAACTGACACGTGATGTACATTTCAACAGATATGGTGTGCATTTCATGTACTACACATAGTCGTTGTATCTGTTGATTGCTGAAGTTGATGTATAGGAACGCGGATCTAAAATGCAAATCAGAAACAATGAAATTAATCTAAACTAATGATAATTTCCCTGTCGATTGCATATGAAATGGACATTTTGCAACCCACACGTGTAACGCGCATGTGGTCGTAATAAAAAGCATGTGTATACATAAATATGATCCATTAACACGCACATTAACATTAAACAGTGTATAAGGATGCCGAGACAACACGTGTGTGTATGAAAACACAAACATAAGTGTATTTTTGTAACTGGATAGACAGAAGAACTGCTGAACGAATGAATAACCAGTTTGAGATACAGTTTGTTGAACAGCTGGTTTTCTCGTTAGCATGTCTTAATATACACACACTGCATTATATACACGATGTCTGTATACACAATGGTTTGGCAGCTTGTGTATAAACGACACTGTGTATGAGTTAAAACAGTTACGTAAATAGATCCGAAAAAGGAAGGAAGGTAGAAGAAATGAACTGAATCAAAGATGGAGGGATAACTAGATATGTAGATACAGTGAAATACAAAGGTAGATATGTAGGTACATACATAGGTACATGGACAAGTGAAATATCCTTTCATTAAACCGCGATGCGAATGAGCATAATCTCGGAATGCATAAGACAGAAGCATTTTTGAAAGAACGTAATAACCAGAACGAAACAAAAGCAGATTGATAAACCATTCATAGTTTGAGCTAGAATTACCATGCAGCGCCATGTCGCTATTTAGGGAAGTATCCTAGGAATGGGGAAACTCGGATCAAGTGATATCAGCCCTGGACCGCTTCTGCTGGTAATAATCTCCCTACTGGAAACAACAACCTCGCCTCCCTGTACTGCCGTACAGATGTAAAGTATCGTCAGAGTGTCAAAATCGTTCTTCTGACATTGACATATCACTAGTCTGGCTGCCCTTGGCTTTGATTTCGTCCTTTTTTGTATTTTTTCCCTTTTCCCTACTTTTTGGTCATAAGAAAAGCTTGTAGTCTAGATGCTAGGAATAAGCACTGTAGCGGTAGTTGGATTACGTGTCATGTAGTCTTCGTGTATGTGATTACGTTTGGTTCAGTTATATTTGAAAGGACATAACCTTCCTAGCAATGTTGATATTGTTTTGTTTGAGATGTAGACGTGGATATCTTTACGCAACAGAAATACGTTTCATCTGTTGTCTGGTCTTTAATATGTATATTCAAATATTCTTCTCAAATTGACGTTTCTAATTGTATCCATGTCTGTCAATTTCATAAAGAAATATTCATTTAGCTCAGACATTTTAAACCGCTCACATTCAACATCGATATACCAATTGAGGAACGCATATTTAATCCTGAATAGGTTAAAAATTCAATATTTCTGACTCACAAAAAACAGTGTGTACAATATGTAGAAGAAACGGAACATATCCAACTGACAACGTGTTCATGTCATCGATGCTGATTTCCCGACCTTGTCAATTTCAAGATTCTGTAATACGTTCCCAATGCCCGGTGAATGGCGTAGCTTAACAGAAATGAAATTGACAGTGTGAAATCCGATATGTTATCGATCTTCGCCTAAAGTTAGCCATAACATCACCATTCCAAGCAAGTAGTCTCACTGAAATAGACAAGCAAGTGGAGAGCGACAGAAATGCACATCATAGCTCGATGGGAATCTGGAACAGACATTGAACATTTCACTGACACAGACTTGAAAAAAGATGCAATCAACAAGATAAAGTTTTAATATGACATACATACACCACGTAAGAGACTGAAATCAACTCCGTAATGTCAATGATATCAAGGAAAGATGAACAGAAGCAGGTATCTTCTGACTTTGTGTTGAAGTTTGGAGTATGTAAACCCATGAAAGCATGTCTAAAGTTTTAATGCTGTCCAATATACAATGAATTAAAACTGAGTTCGATCAAATTTAAATTTTTGATTTCTGCTGATTCACAATGGAAAACACTATTAGAATTTAAACATAATAATGTGACAAAAATGTTGTTATTTCCTAAAACCTACATTGCCTCAAATATGAATTTAATAATTCATTGTCTTGTATATGCATGTAAATAATATACGGCAGAGAATAATCGGTTTCGAAAAACTGTTGGTTTGAGATGATGTTGTAAAACATTTTAACAAATGTCATCGTTGGTTTTTAATTCTCGGTCTTTGTTGGAAATTTTGAAATGTTAACAGAAAAATAACTAAATAAACGAAGTATTCTAACACTGAAAAAATAGATTTACAATGAGCGTTGTGAAAACAGTCGCAGTCATCATTAAAAATTAAATTCGTTTTGACAGCTCACAAGATGCAGATAAAATCAAAAGAAATATGAAACCGTTCCTCCTTAACAATTAGTCAAATCGTCCTAACCCGCAAATTGGGATTGTTGTGTCTTCAGAGGAACAAGTTAACCTCACCTCCACACAATAAAAACTCCCGCGTTGAAGTAACTCTCTGCGATGTGATCAATTGTACCCTTTATTCTCTTGATTAAATTAATTTGGTGTCCGTGAATTGTTTTTGTCGGCCCAGTTATCGGTGTTAATTGAAAGACCCGTGCAGGTTAATTCAATCTTTACCCCAATGTCGTTATCACTGCAGATGATTGACAGCAAGACGAGTCAATTTCATATTGCTAATCAATATTGAACGCTGGTGTCACGTGACCATTGCTAACATCTGATAGCGATTAGGAAAATTAGCCGTTTTCAAAGGCTGTCAGCGAAATTACCGGAAGCCCGTTTGAGCTTCTCACAACTTTACTCCTTGCTGAGGTTAGATTTAAATATTTTTTTAAAAGTTGATTTGGAAAATAAACAGCGCTGACCTAGATAGAAATAGTCAACCCGTAAAAACCTGTTTTTACAACAATCAATTTAAATATTTTGCCCAAAAAATCTTGTGGACCTAGCTTTTATGACTCGAGGATGTTTAATTAATCAGATGTTGAATCTGTCAAAAAACTTTTCAGCAACGAATAAATCTTTTGCAAAACATACTTATGTTTGTGTTGTACAAGTTTTTATAGTGTGTTTATGTTTTTCAATGTATTTTGACCAGCTGGGAACATCCACCAAAACGGATGGGATATGTTCTTATGAAGATAATAATTATCATATTCGTATTGTTCATTATTTCATTTCATATATTATAACGCTCACATTTGATACTGTTTGCTTGGTTGAGGATTCACGCTGCTATTTATGGAAATCCATATTCTTGGATAAGTGAAAACTCTCTTTACACATACATCATTTTGCCAACTTTGACAACGGGCTCACGTTTACATCGTAAGCGAAGTAAGTAATATAGCATATGTTGTAAATAACGTGTCGATTTCAAATTACGTAACAACATGTCAGTTTCGAATGTTTGAGATACTGGAGAGGAAAACAAAATAGTAATTACAAAATATTAAAAACAGAATAAAAATGACACATGCTTTGTAAAATTAGACATTGAAAAACAATGAAACGAATAAGAATTCTGAATTAGTATTCTACATTCCACAACCTGAAAAAAGCTCCCGATTTTC